AAAAAAAAAAAAAAATAGAACAAAGGACATAAAAGATAATTCAAAGAAAAGGAATACCAATGGCTTAAAAATGTTCATTCTCACTGTAAGTGAAGAAATGAAAATTTAAATGACTGTCAGTCATTTTTAATCCAGCAATTCAGCCAAGAGTTTATAACAATAATTTCAGAACTGGTGAAGTGTAAAAGTTGCTACTCTTGTTTTTGACTGGTAAGAGTAAAAATCGGTGCATTTCTGGAAAACAAGTTATTGGTATATTTTAAAGGCCTTAAAAATGATCAACTCTTTGACTCAGTAATTCCACTTCTAATAATCTAGTAAAAAGAAATACGATTTCTATAACTTGGACAAAGATTCATGGCCAAAGGTAATCGTCACAGTATTATCCGTTCTAGAAAGGAAGCTGACACAGCCTCAATGCTCCAAACTTGTGAATGGCATATTAAAATGTTCAGAGTGTAAGGGTACATTTTTCTGTATACATACAGAAAAACTGTATATGAAATATCACTTACAGACACACATAACTTGAGAGGAACACACCACATTTTAGCAACGGCAATCTCAGGTAACACGATTATGGGTGTTTTTCGATTTTTTCTATATTCTCCTCTGCTTCCTACGTTTTCTACACTAGCTATGCATGAAAAGTTGTGGTGTTCTAGCACCTATTATCTCCTTACCTCTTCCCCTCTCCCTCTCTGTCTGTTTTTCTCTTCTTTTTCCCATCCTTCCCTCTCCTCCTTCCCATCCTTCCCTCTCCTCCTTCTCTCTTTCTCTTCCTTCCTTCATTTCTTCCTTTCTTCCCTTTCACTCCCCGCCCCCCCCACGTTTGTTTTCTTTGGTGTCACCTTTTGCTAGATTCATGGATTTCAGGAGACAGGGTAGAAGTCACCCAATTTTCAGATACCTTCCAGAACTCTCACTCTCCCCCTAGGCTCAGTGGAGGGACTCTGAGGATGAAGGTTTATTTGGGAGATAGCTTTCGTGAAAGCAGCACCCCAAAACCAAGCCCTCACATCCCAGTAACGGGAGCAGGCCCACAGCAGGTGATGGGTGTGCGTGGTGTGGAGAGGCTGGCTGACCGCAGACACCCCCCCTTCCCCTCTTGTCGGAGGACCTGGGGAGGGGACCGGCTCTGGGCGGTCTGGGGGCTGGAGGTCCTGCCTCCATCAAAAGAAAAGAGACAGAGTCAGAGACAGACAGACAGAGACAGAGAGGAGACAGAGAGACAGAGACAGAGGCAGAGAGATAGACAGAAAAAGAGACATGGAGAGAGAAAGAGAAAGAGAAATAGAGAGAAACAAAGAAAGAGAGAGAGAAAGAGAGAGAAAGAGAAAGAGAAATAGAGAGAAACAAAGAAAAAGAGTGACAGAGACAGAATATGCAGACTGGCAAATCACCTCGTTCACTTAGCATCTCGGGAAAGTGACATCGAGCTGCCACAATCACGGCGATTTGCCGAAGGCTCTTTCATGTTTATCATTTGACACTCACAGCCACGCGTGAGTGACTGAGCCTCCGGTCATTTGTCTAAAGCAGCGTGTGACAGACACACGCTTAGAATCTTAACGATCTTGTCTGTGTTGTCACTCAGCTAAGGTTTACTGAGCAAAATGAGGTTATCAAGGCACACACAGCTGCAGTAAGAAGTCCCGTAATGAGTATTTACAGAGGAAATCTTTTCTGCCCATTTTCAAAGTATGAAAATTATGTGTTTAACCAATTACGGCAAAGTTTGGGAGCCTTTTAATAATACACATACACCTTTCCTGAACTTCAGGGATTTTCCTAAAACCAACCAACCATTTCCTTAGTTCAATGACTTACTGAAAACGTTAGGATTATTACTGAAAACGCAGGATTATTAGCTTGTTCTAACTGCAACCGTTTGTATTTCTCAGCCAGAAGCAAAACAAAAAAACAGCCATTCCTTGTAAATACATGCAAACAATCACAATTATCAGCAGAGAACTGCCCGTCCCTTGATGCAAAACTTCCCTTGGAATGGGAAGTAGAAGACAGAATTCACCCTGACTGGGTCTGCAGGAGTGAAATTAATGAGTATAAAAATTAGACATCATACCTGTAGGTAGAACTTGACCCAGTAAAAGACACATTTCAAGGATGAGCGTGGAGATCCCCATTTTGCTGGGTGATTCTCAATTGAATAAAAATTCCTTGACATTTATAGGTCCTAGCTAAAAGGAGGTGTGTCCTCCAGGGTGGTATATTTCTCCTGCTGCCATAAATCATTATAAAGGAACTTCGCTAACAGTCAGTGGCTAATCTGTGGGAACAACTTGGTTGTGTTTGACTAATTGCCATGTGAACAACCTGGCTGTTACCCAACTGCAAAATCACTGACATTAGTAATACAATTTCCAACTTCCTTCTAGGTGAACCTTGAAGATTCCCAAGAGCTTCCTGAATGTGGACTTGATTTTAATCTTGGAGACTTTGAATTAACCTGTGGGAAGTCTGCCCCAAAGTTAGGGGCAGGGCAGGATGTGGGCTGCTAGGCAAACACAGGACAGGTGCCAAGGGGGAAAGCATCTCTTTGGGGAGGTTTGTCCTGGCAGGACATCCTCTCGTTGGCCCTTGTGCAATAACCTCGCCATGGAGTCATCAGTGCAGATGTGACCAGAGAGTAGAAGGCATGAGGGACGATTCACGGAGATCATGGCCCACACGAGCCTTGGCCACTGTCTTCAGGGTCTCACACTAATGTCTTAACACAAGAGCTGAGAAATATGTGACCTCAACAGAACCACCTCCAACCACTTCACACAGCTTTGGTTTCTTGCCCTTGGCATTCACATTGTATGACGCTTGGAGTCTGGCAAACCCACAATACCTGCCCCCAACCTCCGCTACGTGCACACAACCCTCTCCTTGGGTTTGTTATGTAAATATCACTTCACTCTTTCAGATCCTCAGTTCTCATCACCGGACTCTGACAATCCCCCGACACTCCAGCAAGAAGGTCGCCAGGCATTTATTCTCATCAAGACGTTCTTGGTGGTCGGTAACTCTTGGTTAGAAGCAGACAGCTGTGCAGGACTTGCCTCCGCTATCCTGGCCCAAGTGAGCAGTGCCCTACCTTTCAGCTGAGGCACTAGGGCTATCGGGTGATACCTTGGCTTCCTTGCCGTGCGTGCGCTGTTAATTGGTAGTCTCCGTGTTCCTTCTAAAAGGATACCATGAGCCCATGCCCTTTGTCAGCCACCAATCAGCATTGGGCCTGGAAGCCGGCATTTGGCTTCATCTAGGTGAAAGTTAATTCCAGCTTTGTTTTCTTTTTTAATCCTACAACCCTTCCTGCCACTCCCAAGTTCCTCTTCTCCCCTTGAAGAGAACAGACACAGAATGGACTCACTGTGTTTCATTCTCCTGCTGTCAATCTGACACTTGATACGCACCAAGTGACGAGAGAACAGGGCCACACATCTATCAGGGAATGCCCGAGACCGGGCTTCTCTGATAAGGGCGTTATGGCCGCTGGGTTCCTGGAGAGCTGGGCTGAGAAGGATTATGAAGCCGGGTCTGGGGTCACCAAAGAAGACTGTGGGGTTGGATGAGCAACGTCTGTCGGGAGCACAGCAAGGGAGGGTGCTGGCAAGAACATGAAATATCTGTGCGTGAGAAGGGGTCAAGTGTCCTTCCCACACAAAAGCATACTGCCCGGTCTTGGAGACAGACCTGCACGGCGACGATCACAGCAGGGGGAGGTCGGTATTAACGCAAGTTGCTATGCGAACATACAGAGAAAGCAACTAAATCCGACAGCAGAGGCAGTTTCTCAGAGAAGGTGGCACTAAACAGAGTCTGAAAATGCAAGCAGGGGTCAGCCCGGCACACGGGAGTGAGAAGCCTCAACGAGGAACAGGCGTGACTGTGTGGGGATGGGGACAGAGCGCCATCCACTTCGGGAGACCATGGAGTCTCGTCAGCACCTCCGCTCGCCGGGAACATCCTGCTTGGGAACTCGGCGCGATCTTGGGAACCGCGCAGCTTCCCAGTTTGTGTTGTTTGGTGACCCCATCCTTGCCCCGTGGTGAGCGGTCCTGATCCTAAGACGAGGCCGTGAGCTCTTGGTTCAGCAGACGCCAGGACGAGGGGAGTGGGAAAGCCTCGCTGTCGCCTCAAAGCCAGCCCGGGCGGCGTCCCGGGTGGGAAGTGGGTGATGCCAGTGGAACAGGTAGGGTGTGGCGTCCTGGGCACGCGGGCAGAACACAGCGGGGCCACGGGCCACCCGCCACCACCGTGCGGGTCCTCAGGCTTCCTCCTCTTGTCCCAGGGCCCTTTTGTGGGTCACAAGACCCCGTCCAGAGAGGTCTCCTCTTGTGTGGCGAGGAGGGCTCAGCGCATCCAGGTGGGAGCTGCAGCGGGACGTTCCGCCTGCTGCCCACGACTCTGCCGTGAAGAACAGGAGGAAACAGAAGGCCACCAAAGCTCCGAGGCTTGGCCCCAGGCCCGGCCAGCAAAGCTCCTTCCCCAGGCGGATGCGAGGAGCTCACCAGGGAGGCGACACTCCCCAGATTGCTCCAGAAGGGAAAACCAAGCACTTGAATCCCAGCATGGTCCTCACAGGAGAGGCCCATTCCGGGGACACATGACGCTTTCTCTTTTTTTTTTTTTTAAGCGGCAGAACCCTTTCCTAAATAGAAATTCACGGGGAAGCCCCAAAACATAAAACAGGTCAGCAGAACGACTCTGACTGTGGCAGGGGCGTCCCCTGCCAGCTGCCCTCCCCAGGGCAGGGTCGACAGTTCCCTCCTGGAGGCCAAGCCCTCCTCTCGTAGGACAGAGGCTGCCAGGCACACGTCTGTCCTGAAGCTGAGCTGGGGTCCCAGGCCGACTCCCCAGAGCAGCCGATGGCCTCCTTCTAAAGATTGTCGCCACCCACAGACAAGTGCCCTGGGAGGCTGGAGGAAGGAGAGAGCCTAGAGACAGCCCCAAGCCCCCTACCTCCTAGGGGTCTCTGACTTCTGAGCCCAGGAGCCCCAGGACTAGACAGCCCAGGGGCACAGAGCTGAGGGCCGGGAGCCCTGGGGGTCGGGGGGCAGTCGGGGCCATGGCACCTTCCTGCAGCCACCCTTGGCTTCCAGGCACTGAATCCCAGAAGTCTGGGTGACCAGGCTCCCCTCCAGGTGTCAGTTTGACCCCAAACTCTAATTTCACCCTCCCGAGTAGCACCATAATTGTCAGCCATCGTTACCACTGTCACGATCCTTTGACCTTGTGTGTCTGGCATCTACAATGTCACTCATTTTTGCCCTCAGAGAGCCAGTCTTCCCGCCCAGGTTAAAAGGGACCCCCCCACCCCACGCCATCCCCACCATGACCAAACCGAGTCCCAGCGCTGCCGCTGCTCCTCTGTCGTCGCGGCGCCCCGCGCAGGGGCACGGTCCTTAAGGCAGGCGTCGAGAGCAGCCTGCCCCGTTCCAGCGGCTCCCACATGCAGCCTCCAGCCAGGCACTGAGGTCTGCAGACAAGAAGTGCCACAAAGAGCTGGGACAGGATGCAGTCCAGCCACAGAATCCTCCAGCAACCGTAGAGGCTCTCTGGAGACCCTGGACAAACAGAATTCCAGTTGCATGTTAGAAAGTTCCCATCTTTCTCAGCGTAAGGCTGAAAGCCGTCCCCTGGTTTATAAGGCCCTGCAAACCAGATCCCACAGCCTCTCTCTCCCCTGCCCACTCTAACCACAGTCCAGCCTCAGGGCCTTTGCACGGCTGCTCCCTCTGCCTGGAATATTTTCCCCAGATGGCTAGAGGCTGGCTCCCTCTGCGCCTGCAGCGTTTTCTAACTTAGCACCTCCTCCGGGCAGCCTTGCTGACCACACCACCCCCAACGCCAGCACTCCTAGCCCCTTCCTGGCCACCTCTTTCCACGGCACTTCCACCCCCTGGCCTTCTATTTTACGTCTTTATTCTTTTGCCTGTCTGCTCCCACTAAAATGCAAGCTCCACATGGTGGGATTTTTGTCTGTTTTGTTTCTTGCTATATCCCCAGAACCTAGAACAATATTCGGCACATAGGAGATGCTCCAGAAATCTCTGCAGACCGACTTGACTGGATGAACATGAGCAGAGCTGGAAGAGGAGAACCAGACCTCTTCACACAGATGGTTCCAGCAAGTTCTACACTGAGCGCCAGCCACAGGAAGGATTATGCTGGCGTTTCTCTGCTCATTCAGCCGATACGCGCTGGCGCCTTCCACGTGCCAGATGCTGCTCTAGGTAGTGGGGTTGCAGCCTAGAGCCAGGAAGACATGATCCTGCCCTCATAGAGCTTATGCACTGGGGCAACACAGACAACAGACAAAGTCGTCAATAAGTAGGGAGAAGTGCTTCCGACTGCGATAGGAATTATGAAGGAAAAGAACAAGGTGATAGAATAGAGCATATCTGTGGTGGGGAGAACTACTTGGATAGGGCAGTCAACACATCACATTAACTCAATAACTGCCTCAGGGATGAGGAATATGAGGTTCAGAGAGGTTAAGTAACTTACTCAAAATCACACAGCTAGAAAGTGGCAGAGCAAGAGCTTGATTCGAAGTCCAACTCCAAAACCTGGTATTTTTCCACTAGACCCTGAATCCTTCCCCTTCCTCCCAAAAGACTGTTTCCATTCAAATAGTGAGCCAGAGTTGCCACCACCAAAGGACATCTTGCTATTCAGAAACATTCAAAGGAATGGGGAGGGAAGGAACGCTGGCTCTCAGGTCATCAGAACGAGTGCAGACGTTTTTGACAGAGGCCCTACAAAAGATGCTAAGTCGCCGAATCCCGAAAAAGCGAAGGGAGAATATTTGTAACAGCCACACTAGATCTAGTCTACCACGACTGAACCAGGGCCTCTTGTAAACCAGGGTCAGCTCGCGGCAGAGGGGGAAAATAAAAGAAGATCGAAGCTGGGGCTCCCCGGTCCCTCTCTGTACGCCCGTTTTTCTTTCTCTCCCCCACTCTCAGATCCCAAGAGCCACTTCTCCTTCATCAGCTGTCACCACCCTCCCCAAGTCATTATACAACTCTTTCCCGTTCGGCACGTGCAAGCCCTCTGCACCTCCCCACGGGGTGGTTGTGACCAAGCAGCTAAACTCGGAGAGTGAAAGTCCAAGGACAGAGTGAGGGAAGCACAGGCCATA